TTTGTTGCCCTGCGTTGGCAACGCGCTTTTGAGATTTGTCGTCGGAAGAATTCGGTCGCTAAAAAAAAAAAAAAAAAAAAAAAAAACGTAGCTGACCTATAACTGTTGTAATTCTTATTTTAAAGCTTATCTGTGATATTGAATTATTACTAAATGTCTACGTGTGGATGTTTTATCATTAAAATGTTTGCAGTTTGGTTTGAATAGACCGAGAGTAGTTGGATTTATTAAGGATATTTAAAATCGACAATACTTTATCCATTTCGGTGCCATTCTAACTCGGCGACGTAAACAAATACTTTTTATTGATGAATTCTACAGTTAACAATCATTATATGTTGTAAGTATTTTTAATATGTTATATTGATTTAAAAAATAAACTCATATACTATTATTTTCTATCCTTTCCTTTCAAGACAGAACAAGTTGTAAAACCTGTGAACTAAAAACTTGTGATTAGAAAGCAATTGCTTTCTACTCACTTCAAAATACATTTTACAGCTCGTAAGCCAATTATTTTGTTTGCAAAACTTTAACACTCAAATAAAGGAAGCAACTTATCTAAATCGTTTACATTGATTTCCAAGACTCTTTGTAAAGAAATAAAATCCTCTAAAAATAAAAGAACAAATAGTTTTTAACGCAGAAAGTTTAAAACAAACGAGATAGAAATATGAAAATTGAAGCAAATATAGATCATGCAACTATTTATTGCATATTCTGAAGGTCGTACATCGTGTAATTCTGGAAAAATTGCAAAACAGGATTTTCCGGAAACACATGATCATTTAGATATGTAAAAAATTATCTTTTTCCTCACATAAATCAGAACAGCAATGTAGACTATGTCCTTCTACATCATGAATGTTATTTTCTGTCGTGATTTCATTTTCCGTGTATACAGTTGATTAAATTTTTAGTTATTTCTGTCAGCAGAATCACCACCTATACCGTAATCCTCATTGCAACTAATTTAAGGATCTGAAGATCTTGGAGAGGGAGACAAACTATTTACCCCTCTTACGATGGGGTACGACAAAGACTTAAATCGTATTAAAATCTGGTGATTAAGCTGACCAGTCCATTTATTAAATACCTTGGTCGTCAAGGTACTCTTCGGCTATATGTTCTCTGTACGGGTGGGCGTGATCGCCATAAAAATTAAAAATGCCCCATTGTAGTAGTATATAGTCATATATATAAGGATCAAGGTTGTCCTTCCTGTACGTCTGAGTTGCGATCATTCCTGGAGGAAACACACAGAGGCCAGTGCTATTGCCTAAATAGGCACAAACAAGTACAATTTCGCCCCTTTACATATCGCGTTCAACAGCACTAGATTGAATGTATCATGTCTTTTAATTTCTTTAAATCGAAACAAGACTTGAAAGACATTTAAAGAATTCGTGGAGTAGTACATGAAATTATTGTGCCTCATTGCATCTAATTTCACATGACGTGCCCTCGTTCTTACCTCATTTATTATCCTTTGTGTGACCGAAGTAATAAAAGACAAATAACGAATTTTCTAGTAAACGGACCATAGATTTACAATTTTCTGCTTGCAGTAGAAGCATATGTTCCTCTTTTTGGGACTTCAAAGTAATCGGCAACAATCTGGAGCAGTAACGTGATTCGTTCTCTTCTAGCCGAAAGGGCTAAGAAGGGGTTCTGTAAAGAAGATGCCAATGTAGGCGACCTGGAACTTGATCATCTCAACACTGTTTCCGTAGCTGAGAAATCGATTTCATAATCTTTGAACGATATTTAACCACCCAGCCATTTCAGCATTTGACAGGTTCATTTTCATTCAACAACTGTCAGCCATTTTAGAGAATTTAGCAAACGATTTCTGTAGAGAGTATAATTGTGCAAATGCCTTTCCAAAATAAATCCATTTGTTTGTATGGAACATCGCTAAACATTCTTGCGTTTTAATTTTAGAACCAAAATTTCTTAAAGAAATAGGGATATTTTTTCGTCGCATATGTTTTTTTTATTATTTTTATCATTTATCTAATGTATAAATGTTTTGCATGAACAGAAAAAATTCACATCGTTCTTAATTTCAAATAATGTCTAAACCACATGTGATGTTTTATCGCTTTCAACAAATATGCCGAATTTCAAAACGTCCCAATATATAAATTCACGAATATCTTCGGACATTTTGAATACAAAACTGTAATGTTTTGAAGGTATGCTTAGAAATACGTCTGCTTTACGATGCTGGTAAAATTTTTATAGATTATAATTCAAACTTTTTTTCGAAATTTTTTTTAATTATTTAAAAAATAAATCGTAAAAAAATGGGAGAATTTTATTTGGAATGAACCTAAATTTCGAAATGTGAAAGGAAGAATCAAATAAGTTTAATAAAAAAGAGAGATTAATAAATATATATCCAACTCAATTAACATTGAGGAGCTAAAATTTTAAGAGCTAATTTTTTAAAAACTACACGTGCGATTTTTATAAAACTTAGTAGTTTGGCATAATTTGAGTCGCAGAATCGAAATATGAAAAAAAATCAGTATGTTATTTGAGAAAAGGTCCGATTTTGTGTCAAAATACCTATATTAGAATAATTCTATATGTAAACCAATACATATCCTAAATCGCGCTTTCGAGACATGAAAAACGCAAGTTGAATTTTGTCAATCGACCAGTATCATCCAGGGAGCTATAGAACTGTTCTTTGTTTTCCTGCAGTGTACATGAAAATATCGTAGAAAGCTGATCACTTCAACTCGCAAGCTATCGTCAGATTAATTTTGCTTGGAATGTAGTACATAGAATGTGGTAGAATAGTAAAACGTGGAATTTGTGGACTAATCTTCATTTATAAAGATGTGTTTGTTTCATTTTTCTTTTCTTTTTGTTGGACTGTGTTTCCTGTATTTACTTTGCACATGCATTTATGCTTATAATGGATATTGATGCTTTTAAATGTACTTCGGTTCTGCGTATAACGCAGCATCTTAAAACTTTCTGACCGGAAATTATAGTATTACCGATATGAAATATTGAAAACTGTTTCCATGGTTTGCCCCCTTCAGACAGGCCCATGAGGTTGAATATTGTATGAAGCAACGGACGGCGGGAGAAGAAAGAAAAAAGGTAGAGGTAAAAAAAAAAAAAAGAGGCTGGGCTAGCCGCTCGCTCCCTATGAAAAATGATGGTCGTCGCCCTAACGGGAGTTTGGGGAGCACTAGGGAAGCCTCTTTTGGTGAATTAGTTTCTTAGCAAAGAACGTGATTTTCATTCCGTCGTTGCCGCCACGAATGACTCTGATTGAATTCCTCAGCTCTCCATCTGATTTGCAGATTCGAATATTTATGCATCCCAATTACGAATGCTGGTTTTGCCACTTTCTGTTAAAGTATGGTGCTTTGCGGATTTTCGGTTCCCTGCTTGGTGGAATAGAGAGACTGGTGATAAGAATTTACACCTGCTCTTTGAGCTATGGCAGTTGTATATATTTTTATTCTTTGAAACACCGTGTTTTTCTCTCTTCTCAGTAGCGCCTTACCTCCCTTTGATCTAATTATACAACAGTCATGAAGAGAATGGCGATGATTTGTGGTAAGGCGAAATCGTTAGCAGCCATTTGTGCAACAACGTCGATTTGATTTTGGTATAATGAAACAGTTATGAGCATTCCTATATCTGTACTTTCAAACTAGTGAATTATGTGTTTGTAGCTGACTGTTGAATAAGATTTGATTGAATTGTGCAGTTCCTGTTGTGCGCGTATTTTTTTAATCAATATATTGGAAAACTTTCTGGATATTAGCCGCCGTTTCGATAGTTCATAGGCAAACTGTATACTTAGAAATACCGAAACCAATAAGAAAAATTTCAGTATAACAAGAAATCTGTACGATATATGTGTCCTTAATAGCCTGTTTATCGTTTTATGGAATATACACAAATGTACACTGGTGTTCAAAACTTTAGAAACAAACTCATTTTTCAACATACATCCATGAAATTGTTAAAAAGGGCATTTTGCGATCAATAGAGTAAAATGCCAACTCAGTAGAAAAATAGGAAAATATCAGCATCACTACGCCAGAGGGTACGCTAGGGCACGCAAAATGCGAGAGGTCAGCGAATGCAGTGCAAGGCAGTTTTAAATGGACAAAGGAAGGGTAATTTCTAGGCATTCTACTGCAACTGAACGTGAAAGTGTAAATGCAATATGGTTATAATATAACAACAAGACGCCTTTTACACGTGGTAGAGCGACTGGCAGGCTTGAAGGGCGTAGTTTGACGTCTATCGCCCAGATTGATTGATAACATGCACACTTTTTTATAATTGTTGTACGCATTTTTTTCAAATTAAGCAAAACTACTTCTCTGTTTCAGAAACTGGATGTGACTTAAAAATCTTTTTGCCCCATTTTGTCTCTTCGTTTTTCTTTTTGGGGTTTTTCCCTTTTAACTTTCCCTTTCTGTTATCTCTCTCCTATTTTTTCGTTTCTAATTAAGTATTCCGTCAATATTATTTTTTCACTGTTTCTTTTTTGAGTATGTTAGTTAGGATGGTAGATTTCCGTTTGAGTCGACCTCTATTAGACTGCTTCCGAGATGACGTCAGATCTAATCTTTGAGGGTAAAAAATCAATTTTTATTTAACCTACCTATAAAAATTTAAACTTACAAAAGTGCCGTTATTTTAATATTACCGGTTACGAAAGATTTTGCTGTAATTCATAACTCTAATCGTTTCTTATATATGGATTTTTAATATATTTGATGTTATAACTTAATACATGAAATTTTGATTTCCCTCTTTTTTTTTTTTTTTTTTGAGTTATCTCTTATTTGATTAAATTATCTCACAGCATTTCACACTAGAAAGGAATTAAAAGTAAAATTATGCATATTTTTTCCTTCTTGTGTTTGTGAAGCAAAGTAAATATTTTCGTGTGTTAATTTGAAAAATTCCTTCACAAATGCTGATTCTGAATTCTTTGTTTTTTTAATTTGCAGGAATTTGCTTCTCTCACTAAAGAGCTCAATCAGTCCCGAGAGTTGTTACTAGAGAAAGAGGAAGAAATCCAAGAACTCAAAGCTGAGAGAAACAACACCCGAGTAAGAAAACTTTTTTTTTTCTCTCATAACATTTTTTAGATTACATTCATTTAAAGTTAAGATATTTTTTTCTTTGATAACGTCTTTTTGGATTACATTCGAATCTAAGGTATTTGAATTAATTAATTAAATACCCCAGAGATATAAAAAAATTGCATGTATGTGAAAAAGTGTGAGAAAAAGAATTATTTCAAGCTTTTCCAATAAGAGCTGTTCTGCATGTAAATGTTGTTCTATTTTATATTGGGTTGATGTTTTCCCTGTTTTTTTAGGCGGAAAAAAGGAATAAAAGAAAACATAAAATGCATATTTATTGACGTAATTTCCAGCATTTAGTGTGACTTTTTTTCCATCTGCCTTGCAATAGATTAATCCGTCGTCAATAAATATTCTACGGTTTGAAATCAAAAAAAATCTTCTAATGCTGTTTTCACGTTGCTGTGTCTCTCGCGAGAGTGATCCTGGCAACAACGGCAGTAGTAACCATGGTTACAAAATTTTGCGCGAGTATTAAAAAGCTTTCATATGTTTCAGAATGTCTTCTTTTAAAGTCAAAAACTTTTAGCATTGCGTTATAAATAGATTTCTGCTTTGGAGGGCAACTTATGAATTGAAATCCACTGCATATATTAGTTTTTTTCAATTTGCTTCGTTTAGAAAATAAGGTCCCCATGTTTAAGCTTGCGATGTTCTAGTTTCAAAAGGTTTCAAGTTTAGAAAAATCATGCTAGGCTTATTCTCAATAGGCAGATAAGTAGAGTTTTTATGTCATTGTTGTTATGTCAGGTAGTACATTAAACCGCTGTGTAATTTAGTTACAGGACATCTGATATTTCTTCGATGTGTTATACATGGAGTGTATTGAAGTTTACACAGGGAAGGAAAAATAGGGAGAGTAGTTATAATTAAAACTTGTTTTGGTGAACCTAATTGATGTGTTATAAAATTCTCATATCGATGTCAAGAATGAAATTCTTTGTGGGTGGGGGTCCTCAGCAGTTTCTAGAATACTCTTTTTGTGACTTTTCTTTTCCGCCATTAGAAGGCATTTTGGTGTAAGTATCACCTGTTGATCTGGTGTGTTGTATTCAGAGGCTGAGACAGATTTATGATGTCACGCAAGTCGCATTCGCGAGCGTCCCCACGTTTTAAAAGGCCACCAAGCCAATTTCTAAATTAAAACAAACAGTAAACGTACCCTGCCGTTAAGATGAATTTCCACAGAAACTCAGTAAGTGAGCCCCCTCCATTTTATAAATCCGCTATTGTTCTAAAGGTTGCTTTTCTTTCAGCGTACAAAAAATTCAATAAACGTTTTTATGTGGTTAACGCTTAATTTCTAAAATAAGAAGGAAAAAAGCCACCAGGAACGGCAAACAAAAATAAATAAAATACTACTAAAAATAATAATTAAAATGAACTGCTGACAAACGAATAAAGTATCAATAAATTAAATAAGGCAAATTGTAAGTTAAATTATAAAAAATTAAATGAACAATAAAGCGAAGAAAAAGGATTAGATTAATAATGGCAAAATGTGATACTCGGTATACAAGAAAAGTAAACATTTTGAATGTATTCGCAATAACATTTTATGTGGTGTAATATTATTTAACAAATATTTATTATCCTTGATAAGAGTGCGGCTCATAATGTGGAGTTTCGGAAAACATTACGTGGATTGTTACTTTCTCAGCTTCTCAAGTTTTCTTGCATATTTTGCTCTTCCCAGGGATTTAAACATACATTTAACCTTTTGCACTAGAGAGGTGACTCTCAGTCACCATTTGATTTGATGCGGTAAATCAAGAGGTAACTCTCCGTCACTACTGTCACCACTTCATTTAATGTGGTAACTCTGTTTGACCCGATAATTCGAGCGATAAAATGTTTATTTAGGTTTGGTTTTGGCAATATCTCTTTATGAGTTTATAAAAGAACTGCCAATCTTTAATCTTAAATATGTTTTGTAGATTTATTGTTACATATGCGTCTTCAATTTTAGATCGATAATTGTGGCAATAGGAATATTATTTTCAATATTAAGGAATCGATTTTTTATTGATGAAGAATGAAATTACGTTTGTGCGTAGACAACTTTACCATATAGAATAGGAAAGTAGTGATGAAGATACAGATGAAGTAAGAGCCGTAAGAAGGCAAAAATCGGGTTAATAGAGTAAATGTGAAAGAGTTAGTTACACTGCAAAAAGAGTACTGCTGGCCCTGTAGCTATAATTAATAATTAGGCGTACAGCATTATCATCCTCTCTGCGGTTGCCATCTATTACTGTTACGCCGCTTCCGTATGAGGCCCCACAGAATGACTTGGAAGAGATAGAAACTTCATAATAGATAACGTACACAATTTCCACAGAAGAGATAGAAATTTCAGAATAGATAACGAGAAGAGAATACGAAGTCATATTACAAAGATTCCGGCGAAAGAGCGCAGGACCGCAAGTCTCTTCAGATATAGTAAAAGAACCATTATGGCAAATTACCGTACCAGGGTTCTTTTGGCACTTCGGACGACTTCTGGTGTGTTGAATTTAAGCATTGTATGTAATGTGCTATATCTGGCAAGGTTTTAAGGTGTTAACTTTTATATTTTGTGTTTCTTACGTTTAGTGATATCTTTAGTTTATTAGAAGTTTGAAAATGTAAAATGCTTCATTGCTTCTTCTAAACTTGAACTTTTATCTTTCTTTTTAAAGATGTAAATCTTGTGGAAGTGTATTGAATACGTCATAGAAATCGACAATGTTTAATAATGTTTCATTAGCTCCAGACTTTAAAAGAAAAGGTTAAATCTCTTTCGAGAAAGGTTTCGAAGATCTTAAAGATCTGTTCATCAGTAGCAATTAACAAGCATTAAAACCCAGGATGTGAACATAGTCAAAATGGTTAATTCATTGTTTATTGAAGAGAATGAAGAAAGAAAAATGTCAGGAAACCTCATACATTTGGAAGCAGATAGATATGTTGGATGGTGAGAAATATGTTCGAGACAATCTCATAAATCTTCCATCATTTATGATTATCGATCTTTTGGCCTTATATTTTTCTCTTCTGCCAAAATCTACTATCTCTAATTTTTGAATGTTTTGTGAGCTTGTCATAAACATGTATCGAAAAAATCCTCCCGTTTTAATAAATAACTCGAAATTGTACTATCTTATAATTTGAAGCATTTAATAATTATCGGTTTAATAGATAACGTTATACGGGATGTTCAGAAAAGGTGCCTACAGACATTTTTCGTTGTATATGTCCTAAATAAGTGTTTTCAGGTATAAAATTTTTTCAAAAAAGATAGAGCTCTATTAATTCAAATATAAAAAGACTAATAGTTAATACTTCAATTTGACTGTTGTTATGTAACCATTAATCTCTAAAATTAGCAGATTTTATTCGGCAGTTACAATCAACTCTCGATTAACCGGGGCTTGTCTGAAAAAATGTTCAGTTTGTTCATTGCGGAGCGATGAAAAAATTAATATCGCAAACCATCAGCATTAAAGAAAACTCTCCACTAAAAACACACACACACACAAAAAAAAAAAAAAAAAATGCTTGGAATAACAGCAAGGATAGCAGATAACTGGGTAATATTTTTGAGTTGCTTTTTAACATCAGCAATACATAATTTAATTTCAAGTGATTTGTTACGTTTCGCCCTCTAACTAGCTTGAATTCTTAATCTCTGTTAAAGATAGCTTGGCGAGTTATTTCCCTGCTTATGCAATTAACAACTGAGTCCGAAGAAGTTTTAAACCACTTTTTTTTATTTAAAATTTTAAACTTATCAAATGCACGAGAAGGCATAACAGTTTCATTGGAGATGTGTAACTGGTGTCTATCTGGTAATTGTAAGTAATATTTTGATAAGAATTGTAATGATTAAACATTATAAAACGTACATTTTTAGAAGAATTAAATACTTCCGCTACAAGCTACGTTAAAAATTTGCCTTTAATGAAAAAACAGTTGGAATAGAATGAATTAAAAAAAAAAAAAAAAACAGTTGGAACACTAAATAGAAGGAAGAAGTGTGGAGTCATTAGATTATTTTGAAGCAGGAGATATGAAAAATATGCAATGCCCTCAACGAGAATGGAACCTGAATCTCTCGAATACGCTACCTTTACACCATGAAGGCATGCTGGAAGAAGGGAGAAAATACCTTATATACTGCCCCTTTTAAAGGGCGACTGTGGATAAGGGGGACTCAGTCGCCAAATCCTGACGGTGACGAATTATTGTCTGCTACCTTGTAGGGTTTATATTTATTTTAACTAACATTTATTTTAAGTTTAAACTATCTTTCCTGTCAAGCCTTACTTTCCCCTGGAACTGCCAATGCCAGAATACGTAAATTTTAGTAGAACGCGCAAGGATTCAAATTATCAGCGGAAGTATTATGATTTAAATAGGAAGGAAACAAGTTCGGTGTGTGATATTCTTACTTCACGAGCGCGGAGGTAGTTAGCGAGAAATTGAAGAACCCCGCGTTTCGGCCTATGTGCTTGGCGGGAAGTAGTGTTAATCGTTCAAGTGAGCTTCAAGTCTGCTGAATTAGCAGCGGTATTGTAAAACGCGGTGAGTTAGTTATTTTAGAGAGCCTCGTAGTTAGAGTCTTGTCTTTAGTTTCTTTTCAGGTTATTATTTTTATTTGACTGCCGAGTTGGCACAGTCTGTGAGCGTCAAGAGCACGCAATTGTAATTTTTACGTTGAATAAAAAGGGACTTAAACCCTTCACAAGACTCTGTGTTTTATACAGTTTTCACAGTCACCTCTTGGTTGCGTGCAAGTTGGAGGCGCGCAACGTTACATTGGCGCCCGAACACTTATCGAACTGAAATGGCCGAAAATTGGATGGAAGCCGCTGGACAACACCAAGAAATGACAAGTTAGAAGGATTTGGATACCTGGTCCAGACTTTGAGAGCGTCAATCAAGCCAAACGTCCATTTCGACGGAAAAAATTCGGTGGCGGT